CACCACCACACCCCGCCCTGCCCTCCGCCTTCGCGGGGACTACCAGGCGCTTTCGGGGACGTTCGCGGGACCTAGGCCTCAGGCCATGGCCCGTGCGACCGCAGGAAGCGGGAAGGGATTCACGAGAGCCCAAGAGTCACAATTGAGCAGTAACCGCCAAAAACACGGATACATCATAGCTGCCACCCCGCCCACGACCACGCGACCTTCCCCGGCATGCGTCGAGAAAACAACGAACAAAAAAAGCACAAGAAGATTCGCTTGCAGCTGATTATAAAAGTTCACTCGGTGACCAGTCTCAGTCGTTATTGTGCTACGCAGAGACCGGGATAGACTGACGCAGTAGTAATACAACTGCTCGCAACTGCCCGCGGAGCGAAGTGCACGTCAACAACAACAACAAACCTAAGTTACCACGGTTACGATACTGGCCCAGAGTCTGTTAAAGTCGAAAGTTGGGCGATCACGTTGGTCACCAGGCGTCACCACGTGGTCACCACGTGGTCACCACTTAGTCACGTCTGCCCTCATTGTCTCATCTTGCTATCATGGGGACAGATCACGAGCAGGCGGTGTAGTCGCTTCATGAGAGTTACGGCGAGCTGCTCAGTATGTGTTGATGGGAGTAAGCGGCATGATAAGTGACTGTCCGAAACTTTTGCAAGTTCGTCTGCTATGCCCGTTCACTGCGGCGTGACCACATAGTGACTGTAAAACACCGTCAAACATCCCTCCCCCCCCTCAAAAAAAAATCAAACCAAAAAAAAACTGCTCTTTAACCATAAGACATTTTTTCCATAAGCCAATGGAATGCTCTTTGGGGGTTAAGAACGGGTAAGAAAACAGAGTGTGCCACAGGCCGTTTTGGGGGTATACAACAGCGAGTGGACGATTAACACGTTCCCTGGGGCGTGACCACTATGTGGTCACGTTCCCATGTGAAATCATAGGCACTAAAATTTTGCCGCAGGGAACGTGTTAACGTAGTGAAAACTGCGATACAGCACCAGGTGGCTGATTCATCACGAGCACTGGGCACGCGAGATAGGAGGAAAGCCTACCCGCGTGCGGTATACAGTACAACTACAGAGGTGTGAGGCGAGGTGCGAGGGTTGCATCAGCCACCCAGTCCCAGAAAAAGGGGGTATTTACCCTGTGTGTGATAAAATTGTTCTTTCCTTGCGTAAAATTCTTAACAAAGTTCGGACAAAAATGTGGTCAAATTTGAACTCTATCACACGGAAGCTTGTTTGAAAGCTCGTTGCTCGTTATACGAGAAAATTGGATGTATCATACACTTTCCAGTAGCAAAACACCTCAACGTGACCATTGCTGATCAGTGTACGTGCCATCTGGTAAATAAGTGATCATGCCCCGGTGTGAATGTGACCCGCGCGGCGCTCGTGTGCGTGCACGAGCCCAGCTCCAGCTTCGCACGTGGGGCCGGCGAATCAGCGCGTCTGTCCGAGAAGAGTTTCGGTGTGTTGGGCGGACATCCATCTCCCGGCGCTACGCGCCTCTGTGGTCGGGAGGAGTAATGAGAGGGTAATCTGTCAGGGAACCGAGTCGCGCCGGCTGAGCCGTCTGAGCCTCGCGCGGCCCGGCCACCTCAGCTGTCGCCGCCAAAACCGCCACGCTCGTAAAAAAAAGTTTGAAGAGCTCTCTTAAGCTACTGCTGAAACATTAGCGAGGGTCAGGTATGCTGACCGCAGCGCCAGATTCTGACCGACATCACTCGCAGCTGACCGCGACGAAAAAGCAACTCGCTTTAAGAAAGCTTTCCTCCCATGGCAAATAAATTGACATTTGGAGCCTAGCCGTGAGCTGCGGCCTACATTTATGTCTGTTTCTTTGCATGGACGAAAAAGAAAACCACCCATAGTAGCTGCGTGTAGACAGCCCACCCGCCACCCGTTTTTCGTGAGAACTCTGTCGTGACATCCAGTTAAAATACCACCCGTACCGCCGTTCTTCTGCAAATCCAACAGTATACTCACTACAGCAGGTGCATCATGTAAGAGTCAAAAGTCGGTTAGGCACCATATCATAGGCACAGTCATGATTTGCCCACATCAGGTTTAAAAACACCTTTTAAAAACCTGTGCATTTGTTAAGTGCTTAACTTTGCAGTCCCACACTTACAAGTGTCAAGAGGAGGGAGAGCTCCTGCTGGTCCCGCCCCGAAGTGGCGTGCGTACGGCTGCTACCTCGCCCGAGGGCAGCGCTCCAGTATACTGGAAAGGTCTGTCGCGGGAGAGATGCGGGGCCCACCTCTCTTTCTCTCTCTCTCTCTCTCTCTCTCTCTCTCTCTCTCTCTCTCTCTCTCTCTCTCTCTCTCCCTCAAACCCGCGGCTAATAACCAATATTAGGCGCAGTGGCATGCGAACCGATGGTGCTAAAAGCCGAGCTATAAGCGAGCTAAGATGTGCATAATGGGATATTTTCGACCGCGAAGTTGTTGAGTAGCACGCGACACAATGGAATTACCCACAAACCCACCGATGCGTGTGTAGTTTAGTGTTTAACCCTGCTTGCGAGTATGGGAGTTCTAGTTTCGCACTGAAGGTGGACTGAAAATGTGGTATTACGAAAGCTAATTTGGGAAATACAGCTTCAAGATATGCTAATGCAAGGTCCATTTTCGCCCATCATCCAGAGCACCGCAAACATGAGAATTTAGGCCGACCGCTCAGGCTGAGGCAGCGTACCCATCAGGCCGCAGAAGGTGAGGGGCAGAGGAGCTCCCCTCGCCTCGGCCTGAGCGGAGCGGTCGGCCTATTATTCAGCATAGCCTATTACTCCCATTTTTGCGGCGCTCGGCCATCAGCAACCTTTGAATCCTCTCGAAGGGCCCAACGCAAGGTTTCTTAGGGCTCTTCCTCTACGGATAATCCGGAAAGTGCGACCGGTTTTCCCAGATTCATTCGGCGAATTACGGGGGTTCGTCGCCTGTCAGACTCAGGGTAGGCCACTCCACAGTACATGCATGCACTGGAGGCAAGATATTGCCTACCCATCAGGCGCCATGAGTGCTAGCACAGACTAAACTTGGCTTGACAGGTTCGTAACGGCGATTGGTGAATGTACTTTCAGGATGAACCATTATGGACCCTTTATGTCTTTCTTTTGTTTCTTGTAGGATTCGTAGCCTTTACTGGTTTGACTGGCTGTGTGTAGACGAAAAGTTCCAGTTCCCTTTTGCCACGTGCGAGTGAACACATTTTAATTCAAGAAACAGAATAAGCTGAAACAAATGGGCAGTTTGGTTTCCTTTTTGCTGCGCAACGAGGCGCGGAGGGTCGAGACGAACAGCTTCATTTCTGATTCATTCATAAAGATAGGCCGCTGAGTTGGGCCAGCGCCCGCCCGCACGGCGTGGTCGGGCCCAAGGCTGCGACGACCCTGTTGCAGGTGTGTCTCATAACAGCTCGTCCTCAAAGGGTATGCGAAGATTTGGGGGAAAGACGGAAGTGGGGGGGGGGGGGAGTTCAAATGCTGCGCTTGGAAGATAACATCTACCGTCAGCACTAAGCGCAGTAGTACCCTTCGAAAAAGGTATCGCCCTTTTCTGAGATCCATTCGGCAAATAACTGGAGTTTGGCGGCTGCGAGACTCGGCGTAGGCCACCCCGCATCACACGCATGTACTGCAGGTGAGATGTTGCCTACTCACCAGGCGCTATGAGAGCTTCACTGGCTGTACTTGGCCATTTCGTAACGCCGAATGACGAACGTGCTCTCTGGGATGCACCCTAAGAAGTGGGCACTCCAGTCTAGATCGTGCTCACGGTCAAGAGCCGCGGCGCTTCCTGCCCTACTCACGTGAGCGCGTTGGGGTCCTCGAGCAGGCTCTGCAGCCGCACGGCGATACTGAAGAGCGCCTCGGACGCGAGCCTGAAGCGGTCGATGCCGGCACCGCCGTAGCCGGCCGCCTCCTCGTAGAGCGATTGGAAGGCGCTCGTCGCCTCGCCGGGGAACACGATGGCGTCCGGGTCGCCGGAGACCCGCTGGTAGATCTGCGGCACGCCGAACTTGGAGTAGCGGCGCTGGGCCTGGGCGCCGAGGGTCGCGGCCAACACCAGCAGCACCGGCAGCAGCCCGCGGAGCCTAAGGAGAACAGAATAGGACGTTTTCGGTTATTAAAATGTTTTTATTGACGTCAAATTATATTACATTGATAAACTAAGTGTTCAACTGCTGAACACTTGTAAGTGTGCAACTGCAAGTGAAATACTTGCAAGTGTGCATCTCCGTAGTTGTACACTTACAAGTGTTCAACTCGGTAGGAGTGAACTTGCAAGTGTGCAACTCCTTTTTTGAGAACTTATAGGATATGTATACACAGTGTGCGCACACTGTCCAATCTAAGGGAGTGCTCGTGTGAGGAAACACTTTCAAGTGTTGAGCAGTTGCACACTCAGTTTATCAGTGTACATTTGGTTTTTACCTAGGTTGATGTACTGTTGCCTGTAGGTCTTAGAGTATTTAACCATAGATAAGGGTGAAACAGAATGAAGATGTATGGGGTGCTTTAGTTGGTGTTAGTTTTAGTGCTTTGAATAAAGTGACGGGGTGCCTACTCTTAAAATCTTACAAACAAAAAGTGTGCATAAAATGAACGCCACTCTTCATATTATGAAGCTCATATTCAGAGTTCACGTTCCGTTTTTAACAAGTCGCACGGGTGGTTCTTTACCCTGCCGTATCTTACTTGGAGTGGCTTTTGTCTCTACAGATTCTGTTACGAAAGATCGCATAACAGATCCCAAGGACACTGGACATTCATAAAAAGCGCCACTTGGCGCATGGCGGGCGCAGGAAGCGAAACGAAAACGTACGGCCAATCTCTTTTATTTCGTTCATCCGAATTCATAATGATGTTAAAAAAATTAGTAGTAGTTTTGCACGATGGTAAAAAACGAGGTAAAAACGAAAATAGCGACCAACGACTTGTTAATTAGTGGGGTGTACCGGGCGTACCAGAGAATTCGTCGGTGAATTGGTTGGCTACCCTCCCTAGCCGTAGTAATAATACTAGTAATAAGCAGAAGAAAAACTTTCATAGGACCGTAAGGTAAGGCGCCATGGTGGCCGTGGCCAGCGAGTGAGCCCGCACTGAGTCTGTTACACATAAAGCATTTCGGAAAAAAAGGCAAATATGTTTTTATCCCCTGGGAAATAGACTTTTCAGACAGTCCTCAACACTGCCTCTACCAGAAAGAAAAGTGTCCCAATCCCCCCTGCCTCCCACAATTCCATACACACACAGTTTATAAGGATACCGGGTGTAAACAGTCTTGTTTTTGTTGCTCAGCGTCACATCTGAATAAGCCAATAACACCGGTGCCCCTCCCCCCCCCCCTCCTCCAGTCCGGGACGCAAGTGCGAAGTCGCTGATATCGCCAATGTCCCACAGAAGTGGCGCCCATCTCATCGCAACCCTGGACGGTCCTGGGAATTACCCGCCGCATTAAACACGGCAATTAATCAAAAATTTGGCGATGCGGCGAGACGACTGCCGCTGTTGTTGATATGGGGAGGAATTCGTAGTAACTCATCAAAGCGGCAAACACGCACTCGATATATGCCGCTGCAGGGGTGTTTGTCCAAGACAGCGGCGAGAGGAGGGGAGGGAAACCAAACAAGAACCCAATAAAATTTCACACGCACGGGGGGGACCAGTCAGGTAGGTGATCGACCTCATTTACTTTTGCAATTATATTGTACCCGAATCGGGTCGGGTTTGTTTCTCCCTAACAAGGAGACTTACTTATAGGTCGACGGAAATTCCCGATATTTTTCATTCAAATTTTGTGAGGTTCATCCCGGGGTACTTTAATAGAGCGTACAATGGATTTTTTGTTTTTTTTCGAAATTAGACATAAACTAATGGAAGACGTTCTCTTATCGAAAAATGGAAACGGCACATTTCAAGTCACTCATTCCAACACTTGTTTTTAAGGCGCTTTGCCACCCAGCGAGTGGGCAGCCCGGAGGAGCGCGTGCATGGCGGTACAGCCCAACTGCGCGAAAGTGGACGCGACCAACCAGCCCTGATAATAAGGAGTGTGAAATACAACACACATGCCTTCGGGGGGAGCCATTCCCAGAAAAATGCATCAATTGGTCTGACATTGAGACAAGTTTGTTTTGACCCTGCTTCGCCGCGCCCAGAGCCACCGCACACATAACAGCATCACCGCACGACTCGGCGTTGCCGGGGCACTAAAGCAGTAAGTCCCTGGATGGCGAGGGAGGTTGTTCTAGAGACAGGCTGGCGGCCACAGTCAAGTTCACCCCTCCCCCCTCCCCTCTACTCCACCTTCCCCCATCCAAACCTGACGCAGCGTTGCTCCGAAATGACATTGATCAACAGTGAAAGGAAAGTAATGCCATAACAATTAAGATCGCCAGGTATTGCCAGACCCATGGACTACTAGCATCGTCCTTGGCATTTCGCTTGCTTTTTTTTCAAATTTCCACTTTAAGACGCTCTGGTGCTGGAGTGGTGTTCCCCGGACACTGCAGTGCTGCAATGATAGTGCAAAACATAGGGGGCGATGGCCCTCTGTATTAGCTTTGCTTGACTGAGGTAGAGATCTCGCGGCGGCGTGTTTTGGTTTTCTCGCATCACAGTCCTTCCGCATGTCTGCTGACCAAGCCAATTCCCCCTCGGTCCCACTGGACCGGGTGATTTCCCCCCCCCC